TAACTTTGATTCAACTCAATGATAACGTGTTCTTTACAATGGATGACAAAGCTATTTATAGCCAAAATAACATAACCTAATCCTATTAAAACAATGAAAACGAATTCAAGTGCAACAAGGAAAGAAATTAACACAAATAATCAAAACTTGCACACTAAGTAAGCTGTCCCAAAAACAGTCCTTGATGTCAACTTCGTGGTTCTGCAAATCGGTCTTCTGGGTTGAGTCGAGCTCAACCAATTCCTTCCCTTGGTTTAGAAAGTCTTGCCCTTCCATTCCCAACTCCAAGCTCCAGCTGGTCATGCCCCAAACTCCTTGAATCCGAGCTCAAAGTTGGTACCTCAAACTGCTTCCCTGCCTTAGCCAAAAACTAGCAGATTCCAGAGTGCATGATAGGGTTTTGATGGCTTTGGAAAACAACCCTCCTGACCTTCTTTCCACAATCCAAATGCATCAAACCATCAACAAACATCCAGGGTTCAAAATAAGACCCTAACCTTGCATTTCCAATGAGAGGTTTGAGAGAAATCGCCCTCCAAAGTACCCTTCCCAAAACTGTCTCAACACTTAGAAAATTTCCAGCCAAGTTCGTATTAACTTGACCCGATCTTTGAACGTTTTGTTTGAGATGATTCAAGGGTGTAATTGAGATCATATCAAGCCCCCCTTCTTTAAAAAGCTTTGTCCTCAAAGCTTGAATCTTCCTGCACTCAAAAAGGTCGACAAAATCATCCCAAACATGATCACAAAACGTCAACGCTAAAACCTTATTTTCCGGTGAGACCCGATTTTCCGGCGAGGCTTTTGGAATTGGGGTTTTTGATTTGCGAGTGCCTCGTCCCAAATCACTGCTTGCATCGAGTTCGCCTGGCTCCCAATGATCTTCTACCTCCATTTCCTTCGTTTGAATCGTCCCGAGTCGACCCCAATCGCCGTTGCCGTGTTTCCCGCCACCTGGAAATTTAAATTTTCCAGATTCCGACGACACTTCCCCAGATTCCGGCGACACTTCCCCAGATTCCGGCGAACCCAATTGAAAATTGGGCGTTTCGATTTCAGGTATCGCCGTCCTGATTTCTCGTGTCCCACACCTTCCTTGAAGCCCCAGCAAGTTGTTCCAAGGGTCGGGTTGGTTCGAATCGCTCCCAAACTCCGCGACCAATTCCCTTGTTCTTTGCTCGTCGGTCGTCGTGTTCGAAGGCAAAAATTGGCTTTGAGCATTCTTCGATTGGCCTCGCTCCAGCTGGGTTTCGCCGTTCGTACACGTTGTTGGGTGGTTGGGGAGTGTGATGTCGTCGTCCGTGGAACCCGTCGTTGCTCGGAGCGCCCCACCCCATTCGGTGCTCTTCAGGGCCGCCGTCGAGCAGGGGCGACGAACTCTGCTTCTCCGGGCAACTGTCTTCCCAGCTAGGACAGTCAGCAAATACTTTCGAGCCAACAGCTGATGCTCACGAGAGTCCTCACATGTTCCCTTGTTATTCTTGGTTCGATTTCGAGACAGATGCTCTTGATCGGCTCGAACTTCATCCGAGGACATCGGTTTAAGCGTCAGCTTCCTTCCTTCGTGTTCGAGGGTGTAACAGTTGGTCCGACCATGGTGAGAGACCTTCCGATCAAATTGCCAAGGTCGTCCTAACACCAAGTGTGTGGCCTGCATTGGGATGACATCGAACAACAGCTCGTCGTGATACTTCCCAATAGAAAACGGAATCCGAACCTGCTTATTCACCTTGATCACAGCATGATCACTTAACCAATGAAGGGAATATGGTTCTTCCCGAGGAATCATAGCCAATCCGAGTCTTTTGACTACGTCAAGACTCGCCACATTTGCGCAACTTCCCCCGTCAATTATCACGGCCAGGTTCTTCCCTTTAACTTGGCAACGAGTGTGAAAAAGGTTGCTGCGCTGATCTACCTCAGATGGTTGCAGCTTTTCACTGGTCAAGGCACGTCGAAGCACATACAGCGGCCCTTTAGCTGCTTCTACCTCAGCATCCGAATCGGCATCATCTTCCTCCTGCTTCTCCTCCTCTTCTTCATCTTCAGAACAATAATGGCCATCCCTGAGAATAAGTGTCTTCTGGTTGGCACATTGGTGCGATTTATGCCCAAAACCATGGCATTTGAAGTATCGAATACTCCCACTAGTCGATCCTTGTCTCTCCTGGGATGGGGTCACACTCTGCCTCGCGGGCTTGTTCGCCAATTCAAGCTTCAATTCAGGTTCAGGAACCTGTTTTGGTGTGCTGGTTGCGGCAGGAAACCTTTTGCCCGTACCTTGGAGCTTCAATTGCTTCTCAATCTTGGTGGCGAGGTGAACTGCCTCCTCAAGATCAACAAAAGGCCTGAGCTCAACTTCCTGTCGAACATCACGATTCAAGCCATGTAGAAATCGTGAAATTGTGGCCTCCTTGTCCTCGCGTACGTCGGCGCGCATCAAGAGCAGTTCGAGCTCTCGGAAGTATTCTTCCACTGTCCTCGCACCTTGTCGAATTCCTTGCAACGCGTCATGGAGCTCGCGTTGGTAATAACCTGGAACGAACCGCTCTCTCATCAAACCACGCAGCTCCTCCCAAGTCGCCACAGGTGGTTGATGATTTTGCCGGCGACGAAGCTGTAAACGTTCCCACCATTGAGCGGCATAGTCCGAAAACTCGTACGTGATCATGGCCAGCTTCTGTTGTTCGGTGAATTGCCCACACTGGAAGAACAGAATGATTTTCCGTTCCCAATCAAGGTACGTAGCTGCGTTCAATGTTCCCTGAAAAGCTGGAATTGTCAATTTGATCCCATGAGGAATCACAGCCTCTGTATCTTGCTCTCTTCTCTGAAAATCGCGAGTTCCGCGATTACGGCGTCCGGGCTCGGAGTTGTGGACTACCAACTGCTGCTCTAACTCCGCAATCCGAGCTAATATCTCCTGGTTCCCTAGCTCCTGGTCGTCCCCTGCTACTCCGCCGCGAGGAGCTTCCCTTGTGCGACCTGCCTCTGGTAACGCTTGAGACAGAGTGTCGAGCCTCTGTCCTTGCTGCTCCAATTGGTGCTCAATTTTGTCAAACTGAGCCTGGAATAACGTCCTCATCTGCGCCGTAATAGTTTGTAGGAATTCCGTTGTATTAACTGTCCCGACATCGCGATTTCTTCCTCCTGGTTTGGCTCGTCGAAATCGACCCCTTCCTTTTGTCGAACAGCAGGGTCTCGCTCAACTGGGCCTTTGGACCTCGTCCAAATCGTCGTTCCCGCAATGTCGTCCTTCGTCCTGTCCACTAAGGTGAACCGGGCTCTGATTACCACTTGATACGAGCCAAGTCAGAACTTGAACTCTCAATTACGCAGCGAAACAAGAATGGTAGTGTGATGATGGGTTTTGGACTAGTCGAATATGGTTTTGGCGGATAAAAGGGACCAAGCAAGCAACTTCAACACTACGGGGAAGAGGCTGGTTTGGGAAGAAGAACACCCCGAGATCAAAGGTGATGGATTTGATCTCGAAGTCTGCAAGTCCAGGATCTCGATCCAAGACCAAATTCAAGCACTCGTGCTCAAGAAAACTCCTCGGAGTAACTTTGATTCAACTCAATGATAACGTGTTCTTTACAATGGATGACAAAGCTATTTATAGCCAAAATAACATAACCTAATCCTATTAAAACAATGAAAACGAATTCAAGTGCAACAAGGAAAGAAATTAACACAAATAATCAAAACTTGCACACTAAGTAAGCTGTCCCAAAAACAGTCCTTGATGTCAACTTCGTGGTTCTGCAAATCGGTCTTCTGGGTTGAGTCGAGCTCAACCAATTCCTTCCCTTGGTTTAGAAAGTCTTGCCCTTCCATTCCCAACTCCAAGCTCCAGCTGGTCATGCCCCAAACTCCTTGAATCCGAGCTCAAAGTTGGTACCTCAAACTGCTTCCCTGCCTTAGCCAAAAACTAGCAGATTCCAGAGTGCATGATAGGGTTTTGATGGCTTTGGAAAACAACCCTCCTGACCTTCTTTCCACAATCCAAATGCATCAAACCATCAACAAACATCCAGGGTTCAAAATAAGACCCTAACCTTGCATTTCCAATGAGAGGTTTGAGAGAAATCGCCCTCCAAAGTACCCTTCCCAAAACTGTCTCAACACTTAGAAAATTTCCAGCCAAGTTCGTATTAACTTGACCCGATCTTTGAACGTTTTGTTTGAGATGATTCAAGGGTGGAATTGAGATCATATCAACATCATTAAGGTACATATCTCGCAAGGACAATATATCATGCTTACTTCAATTATAAACAATCAATTAAGCACGAGAGTCTAAAAATTCAAGGGCTGAAGCTTGTCAAAACTTTATTTGAAAATTAAGCTCACATCTACCTTATTTGATTATGAGAGTCTTTCTCTCTTTTGATTTTGCTTGTCGAGTTGTCATATTTAGTACAAATGAATTTTGTTTCTTACTACCGTTGATCGAGCAAGAGCAATTGGTTGCAAACAAGTGAGTTTTGTTTCTTACTACCTTATTTAGGAGCTTCTTTTAAATCATTTTCCATCATTTTCCTCAATCCGTGTGGAGAATCCATAATGGACAAATTATAGGAATGACACTTCACTCAACGGAGATTGTACTAAGTAAGCAATACTTATGCGAACCAATTCTCATTTGAATTTTAATACCATGTATAGTGAATGATTGCCTCACACATTTTTTAGATTTTACCCATACTTTATTTGTTATGATAACTTTCTTAGATGTCATGTAGAATTTTTCTTTAATAATAATACAATTCTCCCCATATGAAAAATTTCAAAACAAAGAGAACCATTAGCAAATTTTAGGAGCAATCATGATATCTCTTTTTTGGAAAATTAGAAGTGTAACAGGCTGAATCGAGCCCATAGAAAAATTAGGCTTGATGAAACACACACTTCAGCTATTGGACCCATTGACATAATCGTAATACAGATTTAGCCCAGCCCGATTACACATTCTAATTTCTGCACAAGGCCAGGCCTGTTTTAATGTGGAGCTGAAGGTTTTCTCCTCGGCGACGGCGATGGTGATAGAAACAACTGCGTCATTCTGCTAAGCCGCCGGTCCGCCGTCTCAGTTCCTCTCCCCACTGTCCCCACAGAGATACCGGCGCAAAGGCACAGCTGAAATAGAGCCGACGGAGCCGGATATTAGCCGGAAAAGCTTAGAAGAAGACGAGAAATGAAGGCGAGGGTGGTGCTCCGGAAAGTGTACGATTACGTCCGCTACGACTTGAAAGAAATCGCATTCCCTTCCTCACTCCCCGACCCTCCTGGCACCAAAATACGCCCCAAATTGACTTTCTACCAGGGGTTCCTTGTAAGTTCTCATTTACTCCTGCTCCCAACTTCCAATTCCTTGCTAGCCTCGACGGTAATCAAGCGGCCATTTCTTGGATTTCAATTTTCTTTTCCGCAGGTTCTGAAGAAGGCGACGAGGCTTTATGCTGCGAGCTGGGTCAGGGATATAGGTCCTGACCTTCGGCCTAATGATTACAAGAAGCGAGAGGAGGGCCAAGATGGAACAAAGGGCACTACCTCCGGAGAGAAGGAACCATCAGTGCTTGAAGATCTTGGTAAGCCAATACTTTCATCGCAGTTATGGCTGCATGAATGCCACTGTCATTTGCAGTAATATGCCTTGAACATATCTCTTTTACAGTATCATGATGACAATGATGTGATTCGAGCTTATCTTGGGGATTTTGTGTTCATTGTTTATTTATATGTAGGCAAGGAAGTTCAGACTGGGGTTACTCCCAAGTACCATTGTGTAATTGGTTTGTAGGAATGCACCATACTTGGCCCTTGGGATGTTTCATTCTGTTCATCGTTTGTTAATTGTAGCATAGAGGTAGTAGTCAAGTAGTTGTCTTGTTATCTGTTTCATCTACTGGTTTATTGAGTTGACAAGTGCTCTTGTCCATCTCAGTTTACATGCTCACTTTCTTAACTTAATTACTATTTTGCAACCATGAAATGAATTATAGCGGTGGCTGCAAGGGGAGGTGCCGAGACCTTGAAACCAGCCTTGCAGCGGTTGTACATGACAAGAGCTTCTGCATACCGAGATGCACTGAAAAGTTTCATAGAAGGATATCAGGAAGGTGTCCAGCAGGTTATTGAGAAGAAGGAAGAAGCTGATAAAAGACAAGAGGGAGACCCTCCAAGCAAATCAGATTGATCATCCCTTTCCGCCTAATCAACCAGTACCCGCTCTTTTCTCAGTGAAAGTGTTGACTCCATTTTTGATCTTTTGCACAAAGTGAACTAGATGGGGTTCAATTGTTAGCATGTCAGATCAGCACAAGGCTCTTACTATAATCAAGTTGTGATTTTGAAGATGCCAAAACACTTGTTGTATATATAAGTTTTTTTATTGAGTGAGTAAACTTTCCTCCTTTCAGTGTAATGACTCTTTCCTATGGTTTGAGTTTGTAGAATAATAGCTTTGTATCACAATGCCATTTTACTTATGGAAGAAATACTATGTGTCCTTTTTTTCTGGAAATGTAGGCTTTAATTAGCCACATTGTATTTATCTTCATGATGGTGATAAATGACTGTATTTAACCAGATTTTGTATTATGGAACACAAGTTACGGACTTAAAGAGGCAACAGTTGCTGAGTGCTGATGGCATTATTTTCTGCCGTACCCATTTTGATGGTTACTTATTTATTTATCGTTTATCATTATTGTATTTGCTTAACATGCTAAGGGCTTATGGAATCGTTGAAGCATTCTAGTTTGATTTCTATTGCCCAACCCTGAAAAAATACTGACTCTTTTCTTGAACAGGTTTCACCCAGCAGAGAACCGTCATTCCTTTAACTGAATTTAAGCAGCAGTTTATTGATCTTCTTTTCCTCCTTGATATGTTTCTCACACAAATGAGAAAACTGCAAAGGTAATATTTTGTAAGTGCACCATTTTGTGTGTATAATTTCCAATGGTAGCTGGTGGGGATTCCACATGTTGGCTGCTTATACCTGCCTATCTGGGCACATGGCCATTGGTCCCCATCTTCTTAGTTATGCATGACAATGCCATTCCTAATACCCGAACAACTACATTTTGTCTTTCTAGAAAACAAAGATGGAATCTAGGTTGATAAGCAACTGCATTCTTTGTCTTCCTGATGTTGTACATATTTTTCCTACAATCAGATGAACTGTGGTGAGTAAGCAACCAAAAGAAAATGATGTACCAACTACCAAAACTTCTAGATTCTCTAGTTTCCTTAGTGAATCAACTTGTGGTTTTAGTTTTATACAAGCCGAGAAAGCTTTTGTTCTTTTTGGTAAGCATGTACTATGGTGTGTCCATATAAGATTAGCATTACTTATCACTTTTGTATTCATTTGGCGCATGCTGGTCACCAAGATATCCTGTTTATTTGTTAGGTACTGCGGACCTGGTGGTGAGCTTGAGTTTGACAAATGGCACTAAGAAAAGTGCTTCTCAAAGAGGGAAAAGGCCGAGTGGGCAGGGGAGGGAAAGGATTGATTACCCACATGGTATTTCTACACATCTACTGCCCTTCATTCATGCATGATTCCTTTCAATCCTGCAACACAAAATCTTCTGGTACTGAAAGGGGTCCTTTCATTATTCCTTTGATTAGCCAATACTGCCTCTTTGCCAATGATAGCAACACATTTTCCTTTGTTATATTGCGGACCCTCCATCCCCACTTGGTACAGAGAGCACTAATGGAGAGCCAAGGTCAATGGGCATATCTCTTGTTCATGAAAATCTTTATGGGCCCTTTTGCAGATCACCTTGGACGCTATTTTCTTTCCAGTCATGGACTCTCAGGTACGCACACAATGTCTGTAAAACTCTTTTCCCGTTGCAGAATTTTAATTGCAAAATTATAATTATGTGGCTCATCTCTGTTCATTGCAAGTTGGGTTAAGCATGTGCCTTTCATTGCAATGTTCAGTCACCATCTAATAGGAATACCCACAAACCCCATAATGCTGGGAGAGCAATATATTGGGTCTGAATAGACAATTTCACTGCTTGGGGGTTACTGGTTGAGCTGTAACTGAAAGGACCCCCAGATAAAGTGGGATAAATGGGGACCTTTTGCCACATAGGATCCAGCCTGATCAGCTGCTTTTGTTGAAAGGAAATTCCAAGGGTTGTGAAAGATGAGTGGGTTAATGATTATTATTATTCTTTCCTGCTATTATTGGGTGGATCTAGTAAGAAAAATGTTCCAAAGGGAAGAACGGAAAGGTCAAAGCTATTAGTGCTTGATTCTGTAACACACATGTGCATTATTTTATCTTTGAGTATGGTAATCATGCTCCTCCATGGACCGACCCTCTTTAAAGTTCCTGGGAAAACATGACCTTTCTTATTGACCTGAACGTCAATTCCAGCAGTAACTTTCAACAGAGTGATTTTCTTATTTTTTCAACAACAGTTCATTTCTCACAACAGTGAACAGAATATTTTGTCTTTGTTTCTTCTACATAAAATCTTCTCACTTCATGACGGTGAAGTGTGGGTTGATTTGCAGAATGAAGCAACCTACGTAAAGAAGAAAGGAAAGTTTGTTTGTCAGTGTACTAGTCTTAACTGGAACGAAATTTTCTGTGTATGAATGTTTGATGATTTGATTTCACCAGGGACGTTTCCTGCAGAAGCTCCATTCAGTTGATTTCCTGTGTATACAAACCATGTTCTGGTGCTGGTGGGTGAATTAATTCCCTTGCTTGCTAGTGGGAGGTAGCAGAAATGCAGGGCAGTCGTGTCCGCATGTTAGATCAATCGTAGTCGCAATAATGGGGAAAGAGCTTCATTGGGTTGGGAATCAGTGGGAAGAAACTGTACTTAGTTCCCCTTTTTTTTTTTTTTCTAACTTTTTACCTCGTTGTTTGTCCTTTTTCAACTGTAGCCAGCATGCCGAGAAGAACAAACCAGCCCAAAGTTTGTACAAGGTAAATCCAAGAGTAGGAGGATTGGTACATGCGTATCTTGGTTTGGCCTTCTTGTTTTGTGTAAAATTCCGAGTAACAGTACTCGTTGTTTCTTGGCTGACAAGCCAAGTTAGTGCCCACACACTTAAATGAAGTGTCCCCAAACAGTATATGAAACCCTCTTCAGTTTATTTTTGCTTTTTATTACCCCTTCTGTCCCATCTTCATTTGCAGAGTTCATGCGAGAATAGTAGAGTAAGCGGTATGGGGAAAATAGGCCCAAAAAAAAAAAAAAAAAATTCCCTCTCTCTCTCTCTCTTGAAGTCTGATTTGTGTTTCTCAGTCTAACAGTGCCTATCTGTGTATGCATTGTGATAATCAGAGGGTATAGTGGTAGGGAAAGTACAGTAAGAGGCATGAAATGAACAATTGAAGGAATAAAACAGGAAGGGAAGGCTAGGTGGGGTGGTTCCTTGTATCGTATGGATTACTACGTTACATTTTCATGCAATCTGAACAGTTTTTTTTATCTCTCCCCGACCAAACTACGCTATGACTTCGCTCTTCTGAATTCTGATAGTCTGTTAATCGAGTAGGCATTAGTATGGGCAGCTCGCGCATCTATTGGATGCATCGTACCGACATTGTGCATGGAAATGTTGCAACGTTTGATGTCGTTGAACCTAATTAATGATGTAACCATATCGCTGGCGCCACTAATACCCCCAATCAGTCAAGAGTGCGTATGTTTTGTTTTATTTTAGGGTTCGTTTGGAAGTTGCGATAGTTTTGTTGAGATTGTCATTATGCATGTATTGTTTACAATGCATCGTTTTTTTGTTTTTTTAGCAGAAACAATACATGGATTGTTTCTGTGATGTGACAGAAACTATCACTCATTTTGAGTGATTGTTATATCTCAATTTTTAGTTGTGATTGTTGAGATAGTTGAGTTGAGATTGTTGTCTCAGTTTTTAGCTGATGCGACATACACAATCACACATACCAAATGTTGTATTCTACAATGCATCAAATTCGACAATACATGTATAATATTATACATGCATTATCAACAATACATCTATTTAACAATCGCAACTTCCAAACGACCCTTTAATTTTTTTTTTTTCCGGTTTTGATTATGAGTAGGATGAGAGGAGGAAAGCAGACAGAATCACAACAGTAGTTTCTGGTCTCAAGACTCGAGTAAACCCAATCCCCGTTTCCAGGAGGTATTTCTTTCTTTCTTTCTCATTCTCGGCTCTGCTGTTTAGAGTGACGTCATGACTGTAGCTGCACCCACTATTTTCGAAAGGGGCCCAACAAACTCCAGAAGCCCAAGCCACATTAGTGGGCCCGATGTCCTGTCGTGAGTAGGGGTGTGCAACGGTTCGGTTCGGTCCGGACCGGACCAAACTCATGAGAACCGCGGTCCATTAGTGAAAGACATATTAGGACCATGGACCGGACCATTCTTGCATTTGGTCCATTTGGTCCGGTTCGGTCCGGTCCAAATATGAGCTCGGTCCACCATTTCTTCAGTAATTATAAAATTCATGAGGACCAAGGACCGGACCGCATTTTACTCGGTCTGGTCCGGTCCGGTCTTAACAACGGTTTGGTCCGGTGTGGTCCGGTACGGACCGGACCATTGCACATCCCTAGTCGTGAGTGTGACTGACTGCCCCACCCTTCCAATCCGAACCCAGAGCCAGAGGGAGGGCTGGGCCTTGAGAATTTCGCGCCTTAATTCGTGGGATTTTTCTTGTGTTAAAAATTCCTTCGTTTTGCTTCTTTTACCTTCTCTTATCTAATCTGTTCAGAGGTCAGTGACAGTCAGGGTGTGGGACTGGGAAAAGAATGGGTCAGTAATTTTACAAAAAACAAGGCAGGGGAGAAGACTAGAGCGGTAAAAAAAAAATAGTATAAATAAATAGTCACATCCACTAGATCTTATCCTCGTCTCTCTGTCTCACCTCTCCTCTCCACTCCACAATGTGATCTCCTATTCTACTGTTTCACTTCACTTCACTCCTGCCACATTATTGTTTTCACTATTACTCTTCATTCTTCATCTTCACGTTGTTCTTCAGGGTAAACATAATCAATAGAAAAAAAGGGAGGAGAAAAGAATAGTCTTGAACAAGAGTGTGGTAAAACTAAAGTTGACAAAGACTGACAGACCAAAATTATGATATTTTAATTTGAACACACAGTTTTGCAATTATCAATAAACATGTTATCCATTACACTGCTACTCATCATTGTGCTACGATTATGCTATTGAACTCATTTATTAACTCAGACAAATTCCAATTGAAATTCAATCCCCCAAATTTTCATCCAAAACCTTACAAAACTGAAATCCCCCCACCATTCTGTCATTCACCAACCAAGAAAGAAAGCAAAAGGATTGTCAACTCCCTCTTCCCCAATGCATGGCTTGCTTTCAACTTTGGAGAATGAGTTTTGACAAGGAGAAGCTCGGTAAGTCTTACTTCATTTTATCGTAACGAGTTTGATTCCCTTTTCGGCCCTCTTCCTCTATAGTAGTTTGGAAATTTTCACCATTGTGTTAGAATGCTGATAGATTGTTTAGACTAGAATGAATTAAGGAATTAGCTAAGATGATAGGGGAGGCGAAAGTAAAATCTATCATAGACAGCGATATACTTGCTTATAAAACTTGTATTGATTTTGTGTGTTGCAATTATGAGTCCTGTAAGATTTTTTTTTCATCTTTGGACGGTATCAAGAACAAGTTTCGGACTTGAGTTGACAATTAGTTCACAAACGATTGTCTAGTAGAATATATAGATTTTTTTTTGTTGAACACGATACCGAATACATGTTACAATATTTCTAGGAAAATGCCATTATGATTTGTTTATGTGATTTTATCCCTTTTTAATTATTATTTAAATTTTGGAAGGTAAGGCTCCTCGAAATATTCCCGCTCATCATCAACATCAGCAATGTATCTGTCTGTGAATGTTCAACCTTTTTTTTGCCTAACTATGTATGTCGTACTCATTACAAAATCAAGAAACTTAAATAGTTGACTGACCCCATTTTTGGTTGCTAATCATTCCTTCTCCCTCTGCATATTGGTTTTGAGACACACGAAATTCACATTCCACTTGATCTCTTGGGACGTCGTTTTCCTTTTTATTATTGGGGACGGTTCCTTCGGGATGTGACAAATGGCCAAACCCAAATCCACTTACCTTACCCTCATATATCATTCGGTTCGGCGTGTACATGAACAGCTCAACTTCCTGCCTATGCTAATATCGTATAGGGTCGGTCCAGAATTGAATTGAGATAGGATCATATCAAAAGCAAATGAAAAATGAGGATCCGAAAAGGATAAAAAGTATGTTTGAGCCAAAAGGTCACATAGCCTGGTGGTAAGGAAGGCGAACTAGTGACCGAGAGGTCTCAGGTTCGATCCTCACCGCCACCATGGTGTTCCCGGAGGCACCCGCATTTGCCCGAACTGCTGGCGGAGGTCCCGGGGTTTGGCCCGACTACGGCATCACCAAAGGTGGTGACCGTGGAGGGTGTTCCTCGTCATAAAAAAAAAAAAAAAGTATGTTTGATTTGATTCGGTTCGATTTGATTTGATCTGATCCAATTCAATTTTTATTTTGTTTCTATTTTTTTCATACTTGAAATATTTGTTATAAACGCGCTGTTACGGATCGGGAAATCGCCAGAATCGATAAAGCAAGAATACGAAAGGGAGAATCGAAAAACACAGACACACGATTTACGTGGTTCACTAACACGATGTGTGCTAGCTAGTCCACGGGCGAGAGAGAGTCAGTTTACTATATAGAGGAGATTACAGATTACAAAGGAGTATGAGAAGTATTTATAGTACTTCTCCATGTGGGTCTAAACCTAATCCAATCTGGCAAAGGAAACGAGACCCCCGACTACCAGTCGTAGCGGTTGATAGTCCGATTTAAGTCACATCAACAATATGCATAAGATTAAAACCGAATCAAAATATATTCGATCCGATTCGATCTGATTCGGTGTGGTGTGAACTGTATTGTTGCCCATCCCTAGTCTCGTACCAAGTCCCAATTAAACTATTTTGTTGTTGTTGTTATTATTTACTATTACTATTATGGTATTTAATAGCAACCTTATTACGATAATCTAACAAACATCCTTGTGTTACTTTTGTTTTATTCCTTTATTTATTAGGAATCTCGTCTTAATTACATATAAGTAAGAAGGATCCGCTTATTTCATACTTGTTTCGCGCGCGACAGCACTCACAATGCATCCATTCCAACCTTTGACGATCAAACAAAAGGGTTGGGAAGCAAGCCAGCCAGCCAGCCAGCCTGAATTCCAAATCAAAGGAAGGTTCGTTGGCCAGTTCAACAAAAATCGCGATTAATTTGTTTGGGTTTTAACAAGACAAAAAACATTGTAACAGGCTTATGTTGTTATGTAGAGAGAAAGCCTGGCGATGGATTCATGTTTGACTAGGTTGTGGGTTTCGGCTATGAGGAAATGGAGTTAGAAGGTTACTCGATTCCTAGTTGCAATACAATCAAACAGTTCGCAGCCAAATTAAATAAAGGTGAGAAACTATTGCTTGATGTACACGGCACATGCACCTTTTATTAAAAGAAAAGACTGCTGCTGATCACAAGGATGTATCTCTGCAGCAAGGTGGCTAATCTGGTTTAGTCCGTTGTTATGGTCGAGAAAAATTGTTGAGGGTTAATAGTTCAATGGCTTTAACTCGATTTAGCCCAGATGTATGAAAAAAATTTATTCTATATTGAAAAAAAAAATTATTATATTGTTCATACAATTATAAATTATATAAAATCTCATCTAAAATATGAGTAATAACATACAACATTACACCAAAATAACATATCGTACTTTGATCCAATATATAGTGAAAATTCACACACATATAATACCAATAACCAATGTTCAACTTATAATTCAAAGATAGGGTTAGGTGAGAGGAAAACCGGAGAAGATGTGCATTTTCGCAAAGCAAAGAAAGAAACGACGTCGTATGACCTCCAACCCGGTAATCACGCAACAGGACGACCCAACGGGTCAGGATCAAAATGAGTCAACCGACAAATCGACCCACGTATTGACAACCCTGCAGGTTTCCTCATCATGGGCTATCTATATA